GCCGAGTTTGGTGAATCGGACGGTAGGGGAGAGGCAGGACAGACCTCAAGTATTTTTATGATGTTTTGTTGTGCCATGACACTTTAGGAATTCGATCTATATTTTCTTGAAATGAAAATTTGGATCTCTATTTAGTTTAAGCGTTGAAATTTATAGTAAGGGTCTCCAAGTTTCATGACTCATAATAACAACCAATATATATATAGGAAGCGATAAAGTAGGTGGTAGTCCTAGTTAAAAGTAATAATGATAACGTAAAAACGTTATTTATATATATGCCGAGAGATGGACGTCATTTACGTTTTCTTTGGAAGCAATATGAAGGAAATGTTATCACAATAAATTCTACTTTGGAAAACTTAAAAGATATTTAAGTTAATTTATGACATGGATTAAAGATCTTTAATGAAATGTCAATTTTGGCAAACTAAATTTAACACACAAATTGATACCTTACCATAAAAGAAGTTAAAAACTTTAAAAATTTGAAAAAAAGAATAAATAAATAAAAAACACATAAAACCCATATTGAGTATATTTTGGATATTTTTAGGTCAAAGCCATAAGTTAAAATTTTTGTTTAGTTTTTTTTTTTTTTTTCAGTTTTTCATTTTTTCTATTTGAGGGCATTAGTATTTTTTTTGGGTATTTTTAAGGTTAAAATTGAGAGTTGACCTTGAAAATTATAAATTTGTGTATAAATCTAATTTGTAGCCTCCATTTGATGACATAAAAAATAAAAAATATACTTTTTTTTTTCTAAATTGAAACTGGAATTAACATTAAGCGGAAGAGGCACTTACAATACTTGAAATAAGGTCGGGAAATTCTTCCAACCAATACTATTTAGTGTCTCTAATGAGAAGGCAAATTGTGTTAATGTGCGGGATGCTTTATTGCTAGTACGAGCAACAAAATTGCATGAACCACCACCAACATCATATAAAAACAATCTAACATCTGCTAAAATAGGCTCTTCCACAATTAAAGAGGCTGGATTATTAACATATTGAATGAATTACTGATTAAGAGGAATCAGACTCCGTCACAGAAACTGAAAGCCCACCGTCTTTTGCAAAGAGCGAGCCCTTCCGGACAGCCAAGCAGTCCGCAGTCAAAACACTGAAGGCACCGGGCAATTTCTTTGCAAAAACCCAATACTCATGGGATTATAATTACGGATCACATGGGCTTTCTCATTTCTCAGAAACCCAATACTCAGCCATTATAATAAAAGAGAAAAAATAAAAATTAAGAGCCTATCTTGCATCGCTTATGAGATCAAAGTAATTACTTAAAAGTACAGTTTAATCTTTATGGTTTGTTGTTGTTGTTGTGCACCCACAACTGGTTATTTCTTTATCTTCATGATACATAATAATGATGGAACATGCCAGCGAGCTGAAGCCACTCTAAAATAAATCATGTGATGCTATTATATTTTTATCATCAAAATTTTCTTATTGTTATGATAATTGTTGTGCACTCATAATAAGTATTCTGTCCATTTTCATTAATAGGTTGATTCATTGTCATAATTGTGTTTTTTTTTTTTTTTTTTTTTTTTTTTTTTTTTTTTTTTTTTTATCTTTATGATAATGACAGGTGGGAAATGTTAATGAGCAATGACATGTTTGGGCTTTTTTAAGTTCCTTTACAGATTAATTTTTAAATATGGTTAATCAAATTAAAAAAACTGTACAATGATACCAAAGAGTCACAAGTTTAAATTTTATATAATGGTATTAAACAATAATATCGTTCTATCTCTTATTATTTATGTTTTATTATTTTCTAATTGTTTAATTGTTGTGGGCAAAGTGTGTAATGGGGTCATAGGTTCACATGTCGTCACTAATAAGAATCTTTTAAGAATATCTTTTCAATTTTTTTAAATCTCAAATTGTGTTTAACAAATTATATAATTGCTTATAATTAAGTATTAGTAACAGAAGTTGAAAAAATTACCTAAAACCTCTTAATCTATTGGTATTGTAAAGTTTGAATGAGAAGTTGCGGGTTCAATCCGTCTTGTATTAAAAAAATTTAAAAAAAAACCTCTTACGGGTTCCGTGGAGCGGCAATTCTGCAAGGGTGGACCTCAGGTGGCCACCCTTGTGTGGTGGTGATTACTGAGAAGTTGGGGCTCCTGCTAAAAAATTAGTTAAAAGACATTTGAAATATTTGAAATAATAAAATATGATTAGATTGGTAGATATTATTATGGACATCAAAGTTAAATAGTTGATTGAGTCTCTTTTGTATAATATGAGATTTTAACTGGTACCCACTCACAAGCTGGCAAGTGCCACCACTGATTTCTATTCCCTAAATTAAACCGGTAAATCTCTTGTTAAAATTTAAACAATTATTTTGGTCGATGACATCGTCTACTTCAATATAATTATTAGTCAACTCTCCTTCTAGAAACCAATTAAAGTTATTTCCTAATCAAATTTCAAAACCTTTTTTCAGTCAAATTCAAAGTTTATGTTTTAATCAAAACCGGTTAAATAAACCTAAGACTAGGCACACTAATTTGAGTGAGGAGTTGAATTTTATATATATATATATAACTGTTAAATAAAAGGACATAATCCATTTCTTTATTTTAAATATTTTTTTATTGAAATACCACTTCCATTCATGGATCCCAAACCATCAACTTCCCTTTTCATTTCTTTAATATTATTTTTTTTAAAAAAAATTAGACCATATGTCTAAGTTTTAATGTCCTAAATTGTTGTCTAACTTTAAAAATTAGACCATATGTCTAAGTTTTAATGTCCTAAATTGTTGTCTAACTAAAAGACCATTAAAACTCAAATATTAAAATATGAAAAAATAGTTAAAAGGCATTTTAATTTTTTTTAATGATGTGACACAATACGATTAGTTGGATAATATCTTAAAAATAGAAATTAAACAAATGATTTGAATATTTTTTACGTCCTTTTATTCTGCTTATTATTTCTCTTTCCTTCCCACTTTACTCTGAAAAATTTATTCATCATTTTCATGAAAAGTGTGATTATTCGATCTTCAGGTGAAAAAAAAAAAAAAAAAAACTAAAGACATTAACTTAAATCAGAGTATTAAGGTATGTAGATTTATGTTTATTAGTTAAATATTATAGAAATCCATAAACATTTTCTTGTTAGGAGATTATTACTATATTGAACTTTTGCTAATACAAGTAAAAAGAATGAAAGAAAATAAACAACGATCGTTTATGAAAAAAGAGCCCAATGAATTAAAATGTTGCTGTCTAAATGATAGATTAACATTACCATTTTTTTTTTTGAACTCTTGGTAGGCATAAATTGTTACTTTTCTGTCCCTTTGTCCAGCGGAAAGATAAAAAAGATAGAAAGTTCATCGAAAGTTGTCTATGTGTATCTAGACTACGCACATACATATATAAATACATATATATATATGTATATATCATGTATTCATTTATTATTTCCATGCAATCCACTGGCCACAAATGGAGCCTCATACCTACTTAATTCTCGTCGACCAAATTATAAAAAAAAAATGAAAACATGATTTTTTTTTTTTTTTATTAAAAATAACGAAAAAACTCTCCTTTCTCTTTGGTGTTCTTGGAAAGAAAAAAAAAAAAAAAAACAAACATACAAACCTACACATGCGTCTCTAAGCCAGCGAGAAAGAAAGAGGAGAAAACATCCATTTCACTTTTCTTCAAAACCACACCAACCTCAATCCCTCCATTTCCATCCCTAGACTCCGCCATGGAAATAGCTGCAGTTCTATCTATGGACACAACCTCCACCTTCTTTGGCTTTCCCCACCCGAAATCGACGCCGTAAACTCCGAACCTCGGCGACCCCGCCACCGAGAAGCCGCGAATCCCTTCCGCCAACGCCGCCAGCACGTTCGATAAAGTCTCAGCCGCTCCTTCCATCACATCTTCCTCCAACTTCTTCATCAGGTCGCTGACCGTCGCAGCCATGACGGTCAAAGCGTCTTGATCAGCTTGATCCTTCAAAATCTCTCTCAAATCCTCGTAGTTCACCAGCCATCCTACGCAATTCCCGAAGTAGTTCTCCAGGACCGGCGGCCTCAGACGGTTCCGATAATCCACCGTGAAGGCTAAGAACGCCTTCTGCTTTTTGGTGGCTAATTTATGATCTTCTTCTGTGGCTTTGAGAATGCCGACAGCCATGTAGGAGAGTGTAAGAGCAAAAGAGGTTAAGTGGAGCTTTTCTGCTTTGTTCCAAGAGGACGATACCTTTTCCCTGAGTTTGGCTATGTCGGGTCGACTTAACTCGAAAGTGGCTCGAACGAAGTCCGACGGCACGTCTAGACTCGGCAGAAACTGGAACGGATTTGGGTCTTTATATTTGGTAAACTCCAACCACTGGTTGACGTACAACATGTCGAGCCCATCTGGGTCACTGATGACTGATCGGTCGTAGAAAGGTGTTAGCTCCGGCGGTAAACTCGATTTCTCCGATCTGCAAATATGAGCCCAAGATTTCATGAACATGGTCGTGGATTTCCCGTCGAGAACGGCGTGGTGACACGTCACGCCGATGCAAAATCCTCTGTTCGGAAACAGAGTTATTTGCACGGATATCACCGAAGCCCCTGTTTCGGAAACTTTCAGATTCGGAATGAAGGGGTGAAACGACGCGGCTTCGCGAGCATGGTCGCCGGCGAGAAAGTCGAAGTCTTCGGCGGCGTTGGATTCGGCGACGGTGAGAGAAACGCTGTCGTTTGGGATGTAGAGGATGATGGGCTTGGGGGAATCTCGAGGCCACGTTAGGTTTCCGGCGAGAGGGAGGAAGTGCTGGAGGGTTAGAGAGAGAGAGCGTTTGAGTCTTGGGATTGTTGAGTTTAAGAAGGTTTGTTTTGGTTGCGGGAGAGAATAGAAGAAAAGACGCTCGACCGGAGGGAACTTGAACCAGCAGGTATCGCAGAAAGTGACCGGCAGAGAGAAGTCGGAGAGGGAATTGGATGAATCTGAGTAGGGAGGGACATGGGAGATCTCGAGTGTTTTGGCCATGGTAAATTTACAATACTAGAATTGGGAAGTACTATTAATATTGTTTGGTCAACAAATACAAGTGATACTAAAATATGCAGCAATGGGCCGGGTCCAACGTATATCGACTTATGGGTTGGCCCGGCACGACTCATAAAAAATCATGAAATAGATCAAGTTTAGGTTGGACTGAGCTGGCTCTACCCGGTCTGTCTAGGCCCATTATAGGCCGACTTCGTCATGTCCATCTAGATCCATAATATCTTCATGTTTTTTTTAATAATTTTATAAACATCTTATGCATAATTATCCTGATTATATTCTTTTTTTTACTAAGGTTTTTATTTAATGAGGTAATCGTAAATAAAATATTCATTTTCATATTTTCATTGGCTATTCAAATTTTTATATTTGTTAACTTGTTTAAAAATTTTTAAAAAAATTAAAAATTACATGCTTAGATGGGAAAAATAGGTCAACCCATTTAAGACCTATAACACAACCCATCCTGACCTAAGACACGGCCAGCTTAACCCACTTAAAATTAATTTGTGGTGTGAGCTGGACTGAGGACCAACCCGGCCTTATATCATGAGAAAGAAAAATATGTATAATTTGAGATCTATGATTGAGATATTATATTCTTAATTCTAAAAAGTGATGGAAATATTATTTTTAGGACAAGCATTTAACAAAGCTATCATGCTAGGTAATAAAAATATGACGTTTTCCATAAAAAAGGAAAAGCAAGACTTCAATGCGATTACTAGGTGGACCAATAATTTAACTGAAAAAGGGCATTGCACGATATATATGTGTATTTGTGTATATTTTAGAGTTTTTTAAAGGGATAGTACTACAATACGCTGTGAACTTGATTTCAGCCAAGAAACAAAGAAAGAAGAAAAAGGCCAGAAAATAACTAAAAAAATAGGTCTTATTATTATTATTTTTTTCTGTTTTTTTTTTTTTGGTCGAAACCAATAGCATTTTGTTAATTATTCCTAAAAATTCTCCACTCTTATTAGTCCGCTCCATACAATCGATTAACACGAGGAACGTAATTTTGTACACCGCATATATATAGTCGATGAAACTGAGGATTTTGGACATTTCCCAGCTTCCCACCAGACAAAATCATCCCCAATCAAGGATTAACAAGTGTGTGTGTATATATATTGTGTATATATATATATATATATATATATGCCGTCTCTTTTTGCACTGATCGAGCCGCGTTTCCTAAAAATAAAACAAAAAAATAAAAAAACCAATTCCTAGTACTTTTCTCGCAAGAAGAGCTACAAACATGTTACTTAATTACTAACAATGGAACTTAATTCATTAAAAATAATAATAACAATAATAAAAGCTCACATGACCGTCAAAAAAATATTCAATATTTTCATTTGGATTCATCAATTCGTCATAGAAACGTGCCGCACCTTTTATATATTATACGTCTATGTAATAGTCTTCTGTGATCGAGAAACAAATATTTTGGCCTTTCCGAATCAATTATACAAATCTGTTAATTTTAGTTATGTATATAACATGTTTATTTCTGATTATGTTTTTATGTTGTTAAGCTTCAAGATCCACATTCCACGGATATATTCACAAACTAAAATAACATAGTTTGTCGAGTACTGTCGACAGATCATTGAACGTTTTTCAATTTTCAAATCGTAATAACAGCAAAAATAACAAATTCAAATGTTTTTCATCTTTTTCTCTTTAAAAAAGTCCTACATCGCGTGATCGATGGTTGTTGAAATTAATGATTAATGGAGCCTGAAAAAAAAAAAACAATTTTTTGGAAAAAAATTAAGGATTAATGATTGTGTTTACACCTCATGTTACAAATGCTCTCTCTCATTAAAAAAAAAAAATTATGTTCCAAGTACTATGAAATAAACATATTAAAATTGAGTTGAAAGAGAAAAAGCCGAAAGTGCAGCCACGCTATTTCATTTTCTTTTTTCTTACGAATATAGTATGTACATATATATATATATATTTTTTTTAAAAAGAATATAATATGCACATGTTAAAAAAAAAAAAATCTATTTGACTCAAGAGCTACGATGATCGTCCGAGGTACTTTTTTCTTACGAATATAGTATGTACATATATATATATATATTTTAAAAAGAATATAATATGCACATGTTAAAAAAAAAAAAAATCTATTTGACTCAAGAGCTACGATGATCGTCCGAGGTGAAAGGGTAACGGGAAAGAGAAAAGACCCAAGTAAATATCTGATATTTATTGATTGACTTTGTCCAAAGTAAACGAATCTATGCGAAAAGGACAGACACATCAATGCACGACTATCATCTGAAAACAAAAGCAACAAGTGAAACGACACTGGCCATGTGAATGAAAATAAAACTGAAAGATAATGCAGCGTTGATGAACAATAGGAAATTACGAAAAGAAAAACACTGGAAGAAAGAAAAATTTAAAAGATCAAGAGAATGGAAAATATTACAGACGATGATAACTGGTTAAGCTATAACTAAATTAAAATGGTAAAACAAGAACAAAAGCAGCAATAACGTCAAAACGACAACAAAATAAAATTCCAAAATCGACACAATGACAACATACCTAGAACGACACATCATTTAAAAAACGACAATAATAGTAATACAATTGAAGAAATAAATTATAAGAGTGATTATATTTGCCCCTGAACTTGTTGTTTAGTAAATTGCACTCACTCTCCCTGAACTTTAGTTTTGACTATTAGCCTGATGAACTTACTTACCTGTGACAGTTAAAGCACATTAGGCGATGTTGGATCTTTATAATAGACGTTTGCCAAATGTGCTTAATTGGCACAATTAAGCAAGTTTTAGAGGTTTTAAAATTAAAACTTCCAAGGATAATATGTTAAACCACAACAAGTTCAAGAGCTATAAAACTTAATGAACAATAAGAACCTGCGTGACAACAACAAAATCATAAAAGACCAAAGCTTAAAAACAAAACCAGCAACAATAACAACGACAACGACAACACAACAACAAAAAATAATGATAATAAGCGACAATAGAGCTAAATTAATAAAATTGAAGGAGACAACATTTCAATTAGAACCGACAACAGTAGAAAAAAATTATAACGACAGCAACTAAAAATGATTTTACTAACATAAGAACAATAACGTAATAGGAACCAAATGTTAGAAACATGAAAGCAATCGGCAAACACTAGAAAGTTGGAAACTTTAAAGAACGAAATAAAGTAGCACATCAGTGTTTTCCTTTTTCAGCTCAAGTTATTTTCTCCTCCTGTAATTCTAATTGCTTTTGGTATTATGATATTCCTTTAATAATCTAATGATGAAGTTAATTCGTAGAGAAGTTGCTTGGATCCATTTTTAAATAAAATGGTTTGCCTCGTTATTAACAAAGAATTTGTGGGCTCCATTACAGATCCATCAGTTCACAATCATCGATCTACACCACTGCCAATGCAAAACTTGGTTGTGGCATCATTTAACAGCTCAAACATTTTTGTTACAATATTTTCTCATATAAAAATTTAAAATTATTTTTTTGTTATAATATTTTTTTGACATAAAATTCACTTCTAAACTTATATTCTCAACCTAAATTGTGAAAAGAACATATCCTATAATTTGTATTCAAAATTAAATAATACATGTAAAAAAAGAAAGAAAATAAACAACGATATATCTTTAAGCAAAAACTACGAAAAAAATTCAATGACCATCTTGACCGTAGATTAGATTAAAAATTTATTTATTTATTTATTTATTTATTCTCATGCAAGCCACATGACACGGCCAATATACCTCCTTAATTTTGGTCGAACGAATTGAAAAAAAATAATAATAAATTTGTTACTTAAAAAGATGAAAAAAATTCCTTTCTCTTCGGCCACCTTAGGCAAAAGGGGTAGTTTCAAGTATCACAAATAGTGTGTAATCAATTATATATCATAACGTTATCTATTTATGAGCAAGCATTAGAAAATCATTCTGTGAATATAATATATTTTTAAATAATATGATATGATATGTTTGATTACACATCATTGTAGACATTGAAATTAGACAAATGATTTGAGTGAAAAACTAGACATGAGTCTCTAAACCGGCGAGAAAGAAAGAAGTGAAACCATCCAATTCACTTTTCTTCAAAACCACACCAACCTCAATGCCTCCACTTCCATCCCTAGATTCCGCCATGGAAATAGCTCCGGTTCTGTCTATAGACACAACCTCCACCTTATTTGGCTTTCCCCACCCGAAATCGACATCGTAAACGCCGAGCCTCGGCGACCCCGCCACTGCGATAACGCGCATATTCCCTTTAGCAAACTCCGACTGCCGCTTCGAAAATTTCTCAGCAGCTCCTTCCATCACGTCCTCCTCCAACTTCTTCATCAGGTCGCTGACCTTTGCAGCCATTACGGGCAACGCGTCTTGATCAGCATGAATATCCTTGAAAACCTCCCTCAAATCCTCGTAGCTTCCCTGCAATCCGACGCAATTCCCGAAGTAGTTCTCCGGGACCGGCGGCCTCAGGCGGTTCCGATAATCCACCGCGAATAATAAGTTGACCTTCTGCTTTTTGATGGCTAACTTATGATCTTCTTCTGTGGCTGTGAGAATGCCGACAGCCATGTAGGAGAGTGTGAGAGCAAAAGAGGTTAAGTGGAGCTTTTCTTGTTTGTCCCAAGAGGACAATACCTTTTGCCTGAGTTTGGCTATATCCGCACGGGTTAACTCGAAAGTGGCTCGGACCAAATCTGACGGCACGTCTAGACTCGGCAGAAACTGGAACGGATTTGGGTCTATATGTTTGGTCGATGCCAACCACTGGTTCACGTAAAAGATGTCGAGCCCATCTGGGTCTCTGATGACAGACCGGTCAAAGAAAGGCTTTAGCTGATCCGGCAGTGAACCTGGTTTCTCCGATCTGCAAATATAAGCCCAAGATTTCATGAACATGGCCGTGGATTTCCCGTCAAGAACGGCATGGTGACACGTCACGCCGATGCAAAATCCTCTGTTCGGAAACAAAGTGATTTGCACGGATATCGCCGAAGCCCCTGTTTCGGTAACTTTCAGATTCGGAACGAAGGGGTGAAACGACGCCGCTTCGCGGGGATGGTCGGCGGAGAGAAAGTCGAAGTCTTGGGCGGCATTGGATTCGGCGACGGTGAGAGAAACGCCATCGTTTGGGGTGTAGAGGATGATGGGCTTGGGGGAATGTCGAGGCCAAGTTAGGTTACCAGCGAGAGGGAGGAAGTGTTGGAGAGTTAGAGAGAGAGAGTTTTTGAGTTTTGGGATTGTTGAGTCTAAGAAAGTTTGTTTCGGTTGTGGGAGAGAGTAGAAGAAGAGACGCTCAACCGGAGGGAACTTGAACCAGCTGGTGTCGCAGAAAGTCAGCGGCAGAGAAAAGTCCGAGTGGGAATCGGATGAATCTGCGAAAGGAGGAACACGGGAGACCTCGAGTATTTTGGCCATGGCAATTAGGTGGCAATACTACAATTGGAAAGTCATATATGGGATGATCAATTTATAAATACTGTGGCTTCATCAAATTATATATATTATACAATATTGACAGATTTTAATTACAAACTTAATAGTATCGTATGGCAAGCATTGAGAATGCGAATTATATATGCCAGAATCCAGATCATATGACATGTAATTGACCCTTCAACATTAGGATAATCTTTTTCGTGGTAATATTATAGTTAACTAATAAATATATAACTAACTAATAAATATATAACTGGGCAGATGTGAAATGGAAATTAGCTATGTTTACTTACTTTGATATAACTGGTTAGAGTTTGATGCATAATATATAGGAAAGATATATCACCAAATGATACTTGATAGTTGTGCCATCTATCTAGAAGTCTTTCCCGAACCATAAAAGACATTTTAAAGCCGCGCCTTATCTTCACAGATTCTGAACTTGCATTTTTTTATTTTATTATTTATTTTAAGCGTCATGCACTTTCTACGCCAGAGAGAAATAGAGCAGAGAAAACATCCAATTCATGCTTATTCAAAACCACATAAATCTCAATGCCTCCATTTACTTACTTTGATATGTACAGGAATTTTCGCTTCAAATTGTGAACGTATTATCCATGATGTTTAGTTGTTTAGTCTTTTAATTAAAGGTATGTAACTCGCCTTATATTGATATTTCACAGAAGAAGAGGTATATTTGAACAGGTTCAAACCTTAATGAATTCATGTCGAATAAAGTGAGAGGGAGACTGGAGAGAGTGCATTATTATCATAGATCATACATCATGCATGTTTCTCGTAATATATATGTTGAAATAGATACATATTTTAAAAGCATTACCTCAACAAGAACATGTTAGAGAATAGGTAGTTGTGTTATTTTTTATTTATTATTATTATTTTTTGGGTCTTCTAGCAGTAGCAAGATCGCATGGATCATGTGTTGGGATTGTCAACTATATACCTTACTTTTATTAAATCTGGACATTTTAAATACACTGATGTCATGTACTATATATTAATCTTTGTTTTAGAATAATAAAGCTTGAAATATTACAACCAGACATGTTTTAATTATTTTATTCTACACGCGTCTCACCTTCCATTAGTTTATGAAAATAAATCAATCAATTAGGAAAGCAAGAATATATATGCATTCCCCTTCTCATGAAATATCTACGCAGTGTTTCTTTTCGAGTATTTACCACGGTAGGGCGGTGTTTTACTTTTAGCAACATATATGTACAACGTGAAGTTTGTATATTTCATGAGAAAGAAAAGTAATATATATATATATATATATATAATTCGAGATCTATGGTTTAGATATTATTCTTGATTCTAGCATTATAGAAGTGATAAGTTTGACTACCATTATAGAAAACTATTCCTGCGAGTTTATCAACTTTAATGCGAGGCAGAACATTAATTACAAACTGAAAAAATGGGCACCGCACATGATTTTAGCATTTTATAAGCAAATAAATAAATAAATAAATATATAAATAAATAAACAAAATAAAGAAGAAGAGAAGAGAAGAAATAACATTTGATTTCAGCCATACGAGAAATAAGGTAAAAGGTAAAACGACAAAGGAAGAAGGAGAATACCTTGACAGTGCTTTTTGGAACTTAATTCATAAAAAAAGCTCACCATGACGGCATGACGGGCAATTAATACCGAAAGAATATTTTACGAGTATAAATATATGATCGGTCAACTAATCTAAGATTTCACCATTATTTTTATTTCATTGATTTACACGAGTTTTTATTAATTAATTCATTATTTTCATTTACGTGCAACACCTTTTATATATTATACACACATATATATTCTCTTCTGTGATCGAGCTTCGAGATACAAACAGATGGGCCTTTTTGAATTAATTATATATTACACACACACATATAATATTTTGTGATCGAGTATCGAGATTCGAATAGATCGGCGTTTATGAATTAATGATCAATGGAACTGACAAAAAAATGCAAAAAAATATTAAGGATTAACGATAATTTTATATTCTTGTTTTTACAGTGTTCTTTACTTAAAAATATATTTCTTTTTTTTTTCAGATCTATAAACTAAACATATTATAATTGAGTTAAAAGTTAAAATAGAAAAAGCCAGAAGTAAAAGTTGTTAGGTCCGTTTTTCGGTCGGTGTTACAAATGGTGTTACAACATTGGTTGTGACACTGATGATAGTAAAAGTGTAGACATATATGTTTTTCTTTTAATTCAATTCCAATGATTGTGAGTGCAATAAAATAACATAAAGCATAAAGAACACACGAAAATGGTATCGCAGTTCGGTGCGCACACCTACTCTGCGGGGCCACGTCCAGACAGTGAACAATCTACTAAGATAAAGAGATTACAAACACCAATCTGTCTTACACACTCAAAGACTCCTTCCTTGATGTTGTCGTCGCTGTGGAGAATCCTCTTAGTGGCATTGTCCAGCAAGCACCACTCGTCAGGAAGAACATTACAATCAAATAAAAAAGAGCTAGAAAATTTAGTAAACGACTAGAGCCAGTAAAAAAACAACAAAAATAAAACAGTAAAACAGTAGAGCTAAAAAAAACAGAAGAACAAAAAAAAAACGACAAGAATAGAATACACAAAAAAACGACACTAAAATTGAACAAACACAAGGCCTGAAAACGACGACTAAATTAATGTCAGGAAGAACATTAAAACTAATATATTATCATAGAAAAGGAGAATCTATATGTGACGATCCTAACTTTTGGTCATCATCCTATGCTCATACTTACCATTTCTTAACCTCTATGACGACCCTAATTATAACTTCTTAAAATTTCAGGCCATTTGTTTTTCATTCTTACCATGTACGTTAAAATGCTGTAGCATTCTGACAACATTCTGTTACATTAGTCATCAAAATACATAAAACATTATTTTATTTTACATATAAAGTTCAGCAACGTTTCCAAAACACATGATGCGTCCACAACCCACTTGCCCACATTCCGTTGCTACACCCTCTCTGCATGCCCAGCATCAAGTTTCAGGGTGCCGGTGCCTTACCCGTGCTTCCTACAATACGAACAAACTTAATGAGCTTTTGTTCAGCAAGTATCAATAGGTCATAACAGATGCAATAATTATGCATACCCATATATGCATTCATGTCATATAGCCTAGTACAGAATTTTAAACGACTTTCGTTCTGTGTTTCTCATTCTTTTCATTCTTGTTTACGGATACCATATCGTTATATGGAATGGTTTCCGTGTTTCATTTTCTTGTCTTTTACTTCTTAAGGGCCCTGTCCTGTTGTACCATAGCGCGCATAACCAGTGCGGAGTGGGGTAGCTAACCAATCCAACTCAGTCACGGTTTCATATCTTTCATAGTCTCATAATAACCTTTCCTTCGAAGGCTGGTACAAACATAACGTTTAGTCACTTACCGTTTATCAATTTTCTCATTAAAACGATAACTTTAGTTAAATCTTATGAATTTGTGCATTATTGAGCATTTTATCATGAGATTAACTTTTCGTTAAAGTTTAACATTTCATTTCTCTTAGTTTGATCTCGACTTAACATCGATACATACTTTTTGCAGAATAAAGTTCTACAATTACATAAGTCTTGTAGATACTTACCTAACATAGTATCTAACATTCACATTGTATCTAACATTCAAAATTCTACTATATGCACAATGTTTGTGCAACATAGAAAAGCAAGCTTGTTCGTGTTGTAGGAAGCACGGGTAAGGCACCGGCTCCCTGAAACTTGA